TAATTGTTATATACGAATTTACTTTTAAACTCCCTGTCTCAACTGTCTTGTTTCTCCACTGTGTCAGAGAACTTATACCTGCCGAAACAGCATATGGCTCATCTTGCAGACCCGTCATAGATCAATCTGCTCTACACACACTACACCCAAACACCTACAGAGCAAACAACAATCTTTAATGCAAATAACAATATAACAGAACGCAGTTAACCCCAGAAGTCGTGGGTACCGCTTTCAGAAACAAAGGACATCAGGGCTTTACCAATCACCTCTTACTCCTATCACATTCCCATGGATAGTCCTGGGTCAAAACCCACGCCGTTTCCGTACAGTTCTTCGCGGGGAATGATTACACAGGAGAGAATATCACGTGAAGACTTCATTCTCGTCGTCGCTGTTAAGAGTATATGTGTGCAGCTATCATCGTAGTACTAATAACTGGTATCTTTCGCACGTTACAGTAGTCTGTATGAAAGGCATACGCATGCAGCGAGCGTTCTTGTCGCTATGTTCGGGACGTAAACCGTGTGTATTTGTAATAAATAGTTTAAATACTACACGGTAATAATAAATAGTAAAACACTGCTGTCCTTGGGCCCTATTGGTGGGGGGGGGGGGGGGGCATGAATAGACCCCCTACCTACCCAGAAGCATGTTGTAGAAGTCGACTAATTTGGAGCTTTCTTTGAAGTCGAATGCATCTGCAAGGAACCACCAATCTGCATACAAATGAGTCAGACTTGTAAAACGGAAATGCACGCAAAACTAGGATTCTGGTAAAGGACTAGAATCGAGAAGTGGATGAACAACCAGAACTTTCCTTTAGAGTTTACAGCTGGTGAACGCGAAGAAGAAGAAGAAGAAGAAGAAGAAGAAGAAGAAGAAGAAGAAGAAGAAGAAGAAGAAGAAGAAGAAGAAGAAGAAGAAGAAGAAGAAGAAATTCATTTTTCTTTGACAATAGAGAGGACAAGCAAAGATTATAGCCATTACAGGGACGCCTGGCCGCTGTGTTTATGTTTATGTGTATTCGACTGATCAACATCATGTCACACAGATGTAACTGCGTTCTACTTCTAACTCAAGCAAGAGTCTGAAAAATGTGACCCGCAGTGCACGAACTCCGTTGCACCGGCGAGGATCCTGAGTCTCTATGTTTGTTAAGTTCCTCCTCTGTGTCCCTTCAGTGAACGTTATGATTAACTCAAATCCCTCTTTTATTTGCAGGTGCACATGTCCCATTCCGCCCCCACCCCACGTTCACAAGATGCCACAAAAGCTCAAGGTAAGTCGGACATTTTAACAAACTTAACCGAATAAGGAGAATACCATTCTTCTTCTTCTTCTTTTTCTTTTCTCTACTCTTGTAATGGCTTGTGTGTACAGCTTATTCTTAAGCCAGCGAAAGGCAGCAGTGACTGCCTCCACCTCAATTCTCAAACTAGTCGTTGTGATATCATATGCCAGGCTTTGTTGCGCCAAGCGACGTCCATTCGCCTTCGCTATGAACCCCCATGCACTTCGTCTGCCCCTCACCACAGAACCAGAGAGGCCATGAACTAATAGTCTGCATTCAAGTAAGCCATGTCTGTAAAACTCAAGCCGTTTTCATCCCTCTCAAGAGATCATCTTTTCGTTTCCTGGATGCGTCGTTCAATTCACGAGCGCAATTTTTACAGACATCCAGACGGGGTCGTCGCTGGAGCTACGCAGTGCTTGCTCTGTACGACGCTATCGGCAGGCGGTTAGCTGTTCTGTCGGGAGATACCGAGCTATGTGGTATAAAAACCCAGTGGAATGGAGTCGACCCTCTCGACTTTGACTTTAACTATATAGCAGAGGTTGGACTAAATCACCGGCCTTTAAGTGCAAGTCGTGTTCCAAGTCATTGCCACCAAGTCCCAGGTCAGGTCTCAAGTCATCAATAATGCTCCCAGGTCGGGACTCATGTTACCAATGATGTTTCCAGGTCGGCTCAAGTCACCAGTAATGCATCCAAATCAGGTCTCGAATCACCAATAATGTTTCCAGGTCGGGTCTAAAGTCACCAATAATTTTTCCAGGTCAGGTCTCAAGTCACCATTAATGCTTCTATGTCGGGTCTTAAGTCACCAATAATGCTTCCAGTTCGGGTCTCAAGTCACCAATAATGCTTCTAGGTCGGGTCTCAAGTCACAATAATGTTTCCAGGTCGGGTCTCTGGTCACCAATAATGTTTCCAGGTAGGGTCTCGAGTCACCAATAATGTTTCCAGGTCGGGTCTAGAGTCACCAATAATATTTCCAGGTCGGGTCTCGAGTCACCAATAATGTTTCCAGGTCGGGTCTCGAGTCACCAATAATGCTTCCAGTTCGGGTCTCGAGTCACCAATAATGCTTCCAGGTCGAGTCCCGAGTCAGGTTGCTTCCTGTTTCGAGTCATTTACAAGTCGTGCATATGACAATGACTATTAATCAGTCAAAAATGGCGCAAAGACGAAATCAGAAATGGCCGTGCGAACAACTGACTAACTATATATAAAAGCAGAAGAAGTCGAATATGGATGGTTGATAAATCTAAACAGAAAGTATTATGTTCTGTTTTATATGAAGACGATTTAAAATGTAACGTTGATCACCGAATAGAGTTGCCGCCACAAAGAACGAGGCATACAAAATCGTCGAGGCTGCAGGTCGCCAGTCGCGGACAAAACCCAAGTCGAGTCGCGAGTCGCCGACAAAACCCAAGTCGAGTCGCGAGTCGTAAATTGCGAGACTGGTCAGCGACTGGTCAGCGGCCGGCGTTTTGTATGAGACGATGCTCTGATTTGCTAAAAAAAAAGCATTTCTTCAATAAGTGGACCAATTAAAATGTTTTTTTTTTCTGTGCGCCATGAAAATGGTCTGAACATGTTTCAACTACAAGGCGAGATATATGTTTCAACATGTTTGCAAATGTAATGAGCAGTATCCAGAAGCCAGGAGTTAACCCTTAGGCTCGGTATTATGGATATCGCAACCTTTCAGCCTTGATTCCATGATAAATACCTTTAATCTGGGAGATATGTGTCTTTTCTGCCTACCCCCGGGCGTGAACCCGGACCACAAGGAGTTCGTCACCAGGTCACCGCGCAGTCTGGTTTAGCCAACTACGCTAGCGAGCCAGGCATAATGAGCTTTAAAACGTTGACAAATAAGTTATACATGCTTCAGCGAATGCAGAAATAGAGTTTTAAAGCAGATACATTTTGTAACGCCTTCTGCACAGCTGTTTTCTACTATGAAAAATTGTGAATTGTATATTATTTACAATTTTCATATTGGTCCCTTCCTTTGTCAGTCCAAGTCGCGCGACTCAAGTCCCGACCTCCTTGATTTCACAAAATCTGTAGAGAAAGAAGATTATTATGGCCTGGAGAGAATGAGACACCTGGGTGTAACCAGAGGGTCTGGCCGGCTCACTACACTCAGGGGAAAGGCAAGAGGGACATATAACCAGATTGTGACCAGCACCATCAGTACTGGAGCAGTGCGCTGGCTGCTGAAGATGAGAACGGGGCATTCATGGTAATGCCCCGAGTGCTGTGATGTCAATTCTTGACTTAACTCAACTCAACTCAACTAAATTTGCAGATGATATTGTAGATATTATGTTTTCATGGATTAGTTAATTCTCATTTCTATCTTTTCCACTAGCTGGCACCCCCTCCTCTCCTGAGCGCGCCTCGTTTGATCCTCCATTGGGGAGTGAGGAGTCCCTCGGAGAGCAACAAAAGGATCCCGAAGATTTCTTAGGCGATGAGCAAATATCGAATGAAAATAAAAAAGAAGCCAGCGAGGGCGCTGAAGACACGAACTCCGAGGAGAGTGATGCGGAGGATGTATCTACGAGCCACATTCTAATTACTGGTAGGTTCTCTTGTCGTACCCCACCCCTCCCCCTCCACCTTTCCCACTCACTTTTAGATATGGGAGGAGTGGCTGGCCGAACGGTTAAAAATGATTGGCTCTCAGGCAGGAGACCCAGGTTCGAATCCTAGGTAAGGTTGTGGTATTTTGCTGCTGTTGTTCTTTTTGTTTTGTTTTGTTTTTCATTTGTGGGCAAAAGTGAAATCTTGATCTGCTTAGTGCCTGGAGACTGCTCTAACTATGTGGTTATAAGTTCTGGGGCTGGTAGCCCCCTTTTCCACCCACTTATACATCAACCGTCTTCTTCTTCTTCTTTTTATTATTATTATTATTATTGTGCTTCTTTTTCTTCTGCTGCTGTTGCAGCTTCTTTTTGTTCTTTCTCTTCTTTTCATTTTTCTTCTTCTTCTTCTTCTTCTTCTTCTTCGTCTTCTTCTTGTTCTTGTTCTTGTTCTTCTTCTTGTTCTTGTTCTTGTTCTTCTTCTTTTTCTTCTTCTTGTTCACCTTTAACAGTTGAACATTTTCTGAGAAAGTTATGGTTTTCGTCCACCTACTGACTTCATTCCTGTTCCAGAAGCTGAGTGTTACATGCACATCGACTTCGCAGATCTGGCTTATTTGTATGCAGACTTTCAGTTTCTTGCCTCTCAGGCAGGTGTACTCTGACTTCACAGGATGCACCTACTTAGTTGACTCCTGCGACATGCTTGTTGGGTATACAGTGGGTCTTTCTTTTTCCACAACGGGACTCCAGAACCCTCAAGGACAAAGTGCTAGAACAATGTCAGAACAAGGATGTTAAGTGGAGAACAACCAATACTTTCCGCCGGAGTTTAAAGCCGATAAACCTTATCATTTAAAATAAAAATCACATTTTTACCGCAGTTATCCCAATATCTTTTATGGACGGGTTCTAAGAATATCATGGGTAAAGAAAAGAACAAATGCATCCATACTTCAGGAAGTGAATATTGAAGAAAGATGGCTATTAAAGACGATAAAACACAGAAAATTGAAATATTTTTGTCACTTGAAACGTCACGAAAGTTTAGAGAGATCAATAATTGAGGGGTATATGCCTGTGAAGAAAGGAAGAGGAAGGCCAAAGAGAAGATGGATGCAGGATGTGGCGGAGGATCTCCAGGTGTGTGTGTCGGACGCGGGACATCTTGCTTGGGACTGAAAAGTTTTCCGGAGGGTTGTTATGAGAGCAAGGTTCTGCAAAGGATGTGTTACTGTCTTAAAAAAAAAAAAAAAGGTAAATTCGGGAGCTGTGAACCAGCGTCATTGCATACGGTTATAAACCATATGCTCTGCCACCAGTACAGACAGCTGATAAGAAACTGTCCGCCTGTGTCGCCGTCCGCACGCAGCTCCGACACTACAGCGACGTTCCTCCATTTACCCCATAGTGTTAACTCTGGTACCCATTACCTAGTTTCGAACACCGGCTGTGGGCTGCAGCGAGTCGCAGCGGGATTGAAAGCGAGTCTCCTGTCGACTGCGCTAACGCGGCCCCCGATGTTACTGTCTTACTGACTGATCCCCATATGATTACCCACTATTGATACCGTCCAGGTGACGATGAAACATACCCAGAAGACACACAGCGAGACAATGCCAGTGGCCGCCCACGGCCGAAACTGACCACGTCAAACAGCAGAGCTGAGATTATGCTTGGCCTAGAGACCGATGATGGTAAAAGTGCCGAAGTGGAGATCGACTCCCTCGAGACGGATGAGCTGCAGCCAGAAGGTAAGAGTTGTTTCATCATCAGAGTTATCATCGTCATCATCGTTTCAATCATCTATTGTTCTGTTGTACCATTAACCGTCAGATAGGGCGCGCGGGTCTATTACTCTATTCTGTTTTATCCCGTGAAGTCACTCTGATGTTATGGATGGAATTTCTCTGAATGCCTGTGGCTGTTTCATCAACGTTCGCCCTCCTGTCCTCATTGCCTCTATGTCTCCATGTATGGATTATATCGACAGACAAAGAATGAAATAGTTCGGCCATCTAGTGAGAATACAGCCAGACCAAACTGTATAAGTGACTTTACAGCAAAATATCTGAAAGGAAGGCGAGAAGAAGACCAAGAAAGATATGGATAAATGGTTTAGCTGAAACAAGTAAAAATATGAACAAATACATCACACAAACCACCTGAGTAGCGTAAGAGAAATACAGAAAAACCAAGCCACTGAGCTACAACCTGGTATCATTGAGTCAACAAAAGAAGAAAGAAAGAAAGAATGTCTTGTGATTCTTTGTTCGTCTGTTCTCAGAGTGGTCCATTATAACACTATCTTTCTTTCATATAACTGTTGATAATGGTTGTTGCCTAGACGTTTCTTTTGACTTATTTCCTCACTCCTCTTGAATTCATCAAAATTGACGCTAGGCACGGTCACTGTTTTGAGTCGTGGCAATGTTTTTGCTTATTCCAGATGGTGGCCGTTGCATTTTTGCTCATTTTGTACACTGAAAGGATATAGTTTGGTCGCCCAGCTTCTGAGTTGAGTGCATGGTGCGACACCGTGAGCTGCGGATTTCATTTGGAATGTTTTTCTACTGGGACCAACGTGATGGTGTGAATTGTAGATTCAGAAAACGGCGCGAAGCCTGTTGTCGCAATATTAAAATTGATCGCGTGGGCAACTGCTGATCTGTTGGTGACTTCTGCTATCATCAAGGATAAACTGCATTTCTAATGTCGGACTGTTTGTGTTAGCACTTCGGATGGTTACCATATGCTTTTAATGCGTGTTTATGTTAGTGTACATGCTGAGACAGCAGTCTATCAATCTTTCCACAAGGGACTGTGATAAACATTGTGTATGTTTTCGTTGGCACAGGAGCGGAGCAACTATGGGATGACCCGTTTGCTATGAAGCTGAAACTAAGATTACCAAGATTAACAAGAATTCATCCCAGTTTATCTTCATCATTTTCTCATTCGTTTGTTTTCGAATACATTTAACTTCCGTTTCATGTCTTTCGTGGTTCTCAAACTTTCACTGGCATATTTTAAAACTGAAATAACATTAGAATTGAAAATACGAAACTTAGTTCTAAAACTAAATTTAAAAAAATACATATAAAGCAGTGTTTCCCAAACTGTTCTTAGTCGCGGCTCTTTTTTTTTCAATTAAAATTTGTCCACAGCGCCCTAACCTAAGTAAAAGTATGACTATTGGTGTTTTGATTGAATTAATTATGAAACTTTTATAATATTTCACGGCACCCCTGTTAAGAGATAGCGGCTCCCCGGGGCGCCGCGGCGCACAGTTTGGGAATCACTGATATAAAGTAAAGTAAAAGATCCTTTTTCACGCCTTCAAGCGATTTGGGCATCAGGGGCAAATGGGAGCTAGACTTATATTTTATAAACCAATAGGAGCTCGGTGGGTGTTCTGGTTCACATCACGCCGGCCGCCTTTACTTTCTAGGACTTTACCTGATACCCATTCAAGGCTTGGTCGACTTGAAAGACAAGGTCATTTTTGAAAGAAAAAAATTCTTCTTCTTCTTCTTCTTCTTCTTTTCTTCTCTTCTTCTCTTCTTCTTTCTTCTTCTTCTTCTTCTTCTTCTCTCTCTTCTTCTTAATTCTTCCTTCTTCTTCTTCTTCTTCTTCTTCTTCTCTCTTTCTTCTTCTTCTTCTCTTCTTACTATCTTCTTCTTCTTCTTCTTCTTCTTCTTCTCTCTTCTTCTTTTTCTTTCTTCTTCTTCTTCTTCTTCTTCATTTTCTTCTTCTTCTTCTCTTCTAATATTATTATTATTATTATTATTATTATTACTACTACTACTACTACTACTACTACTACTACTACTACTACTACTACTACTACTACTACTACTACTACTACTACTACTACTATTATCATTTTTCGCATTCACCGGCTGTAAGCTCAGACGGAAAGTTCTGGCTGTTCGTCCACTCCTGGACTTCACTCAAATTCGAGAACTTGAGTTTTGCGTGCACATCCGTGTTACAAATCTGGCTTATTTGCATGTAGACTATTATTCTTTGCCTCTCAGGCTGATGCACTCCAATTTTGAAGGAAACACCCCTAAGTAGTTTACCTTTACGACATGCTTGTTGTGGGCAGGAGCAGGGGGTATATTCTGTTATTCTTCTTCTCAGAATGGGTCCCATGAATCTAAACAAATCCCGATACAGTTGGAATAAAGACTACCATTATTATTATTATTATTATTATTAATATTATTATTATTATTATTGGCTATTAGGGAGGGGGTATCTTGGCTGAAAAAGCCGATCTCTTGCCGTTTGCCGTCATCACTAAATTATACTTCTGTCAGTATGGAAGCTTCTTTGCTGAAAGGCAATGTCTGTTTCTCGAAACACCTGTCTTCTTGCAGTTCCGCTACATACATCATGTTTCTTGGCCAAATTTGATCTCTTCTCCCGTACATTTGAAGATCAGATAGCCTACATGACCACCGGAACCTAGGGCTTCGGGCACCGTGAGCCCCACCGCCCACCCCCCCCGTGTTTCTGGGGAGTTGGGATAAGGTGCTTCCCCTTCCTCCCATATGTATAGATTTGTGTGTGTGTGCGTTTGTGTGTGCGTGTGCGTGCGTGCATTATACGGTTCATATTTTAAATACATTAAAATTTTTTATTTGCAATTCACCCTATAATATTCTTTTTATTACACACTTAAACTAGATGCAGGCCCCTGGAGGGGCCCTTCTCTCTGGAAAACTTATATAGGGCCGAGTTCCCGTTCTGTCCCCTGCCCCCTCCATTTCAGCCTCCTTGACCTTCTTCTCCATATATCTTTTCCCCAATTACCGGGGAAATATGCACAGCAAATATTCAATGACATCATGTCTCGTTCTGAACATCAACATGTCGCGGTGTTTTAGGGCATGACGAGATTTGAGAAAATGAAACATGAAGTGCTAATGGACGTTTTCATGCAAGAGCGTATTTTCAGAAATTCTCTGTGTGGCTTTGTTGTCTTGCTTTCACGTTCAGATACTGGTTGCCTTAAGTAAATATGGGACGCAAAAATAGATCTTGTCAGCGTCTTTTTACTTACGCAACGTTATGAATGATAATAAACTTGATGGCCAGATCTCACTTTTAGCGTGCAAGTGGTAATATATATATTTTTTTCTTTCTCAGATGTTGGTTTTGTGTCATGAAAAAAAAAATGTTGGTTGTGTCGTGGGGGAAAAAAGCAAGTTTTTAAGTTTGTGTCATAAAAAAAGATGTTGGTTAAGTTGTTTTTAGTGTCATGAAACAAACAATGTTGGTATGTTGGTTGCGTCATGAGAAATAGATGTGATAAGTTGGTTGTGTCATGAAAAATAGGTGTTGGAAAGTTGGTTGTTTCGTGAAAATAGATGTTGGTTAGTTGGTTGTGTCATAAAAAATATATGTGATTATTGGTTGCGTAATAAAAAATATATGTGATTACTGTGGTTGAGTCACGAAAAATGAATGTTATAAAGTTGGTTGTATCGTAAAAATAGATTATTGGGAAAGTTGGTTGTGTCGTGAAATAGATGTTGGTTAGTTGGCTGTGTCATAAAAATAGATGTTGGTTAGTTGGTGTGTGTAAATGTTGTTCGTTGGTTGTGTCATAAAAATAGATATTGATTAGTTGGTTGTGTCATACAAATAGATGTTGGTTAGTTGGTTGTGTTATAAAAATAGATGTTGGTTAGTTGGTTGTGTCATAAAAATAGATGTTGGTTAGTTGGTTGTGTCATAAAAATAGATGTTGGTTAGTTGGTTGTGTCATAAAAATAGATTTTGGTTAGTTTGGTTGTGTCATAAAAATAGATGCTGGTAAGTTGGTTGTGTCATACAAACAGATATTGATTAGTTGGTTGTGTCATAAAAATAGATGTTGGTTAGTTGGTTGTGTTATAAAAATAGATGTTGGTTATTTGGCTGTGTCATAAAAATAGATGTTGGTTAGTTGGTTGTGTCATAAAAATAGATGTTGGTTAGTTGGTTGTGTCATAAAAATAGATGTTGGTTAGTTGGTTGTGTCATAAAAATAGATGTTGGTTAGTTGGTTGTGTCATAAAAATAGATGTTGGTTAGTTGGTTGTGTTATAAAAATAGATGTTGGTTAGTTGGTTGTGTCATAAAAATAGATGTTGGTTAGTTGGTTGTGTCAACAAAAAAAAATAGATGTTGGTTAATTTGTGCTAGTTAATTGTATCCATCTTCCTACAGGTCGACACCTGCACCTGTTTCCTAGTACCATGCCCCTACCACTATTCTTAAACATACGCCTTGAAAAAATTACTTGTGATAAATCAATATTTCCTTGGCGGCAACTTCAGGATAAAAGCGAGGAAAAGATGAATTTAAAAAGTTAAATATTCTGTAAATCTGTCTGTGTCAACTGAGGTGGAAAGGAGAGTGGTTAAGAGCTACGAAGAGCAAGTCCTAACGTGTGGATGCCAAACGAACAGTCAGCCTAATACTGATGAATTATGTGGAAGTTTTCCAGTATGTCGTTTTATAGAAAAAATATTCGGGGGCTGCGTGGTCTCGAGGCAATGTGTCCGCCTCGAGTGCTAGAGATTCTGGGTTCAATCCCCGGCAGGGGCTGGGATTTTTTTTCACGTGGACTTGGACTTCTAATGATTCCCCCTGGTCTCTGGGTAGTGGGATCAGACGCCTGTGTGCATTGCTGTGCACGTAAAAAATCCATTGACAGTTGGAAATCGAAAAGAGTAGCCTAGCGGCGCTGTCCGGGCAA